TCAACGTAGCTTAGATAATAGTCCAGTTTCTCACGTGGCTGGGCATTGTTAAGGTTCAAACCCACACCCTCACTATATCAGTGTATTTACCCACGTGGGCGCGCGACACATTCTTTTGCAAAACCACATCTCTGAGGCCTCAAGAAATTGTTTGGCCTGCCTACCGATTGTCCGGGACTCACGGCCATATGTTAAAACTGGACCTATATAGCAAGCAAGAATTATTTTTCTAGCCCTCGATGACAAAGATATATTGCAAAACTTTCATTTTATAAAATGCAGTTTTTGCCTGTCCTGTTGTGTTTCTTATCTCAGTAATGCATCTTCCAACAGTAATGCATCTTCCATCTGATGTTATCCATGTGCCCAGATACTTAAATGTATGTACTTGTCCCAAAATAAAACCATTGACTTGTATTACACTAAATACCGTTTATGAGCCAGTTCTCCTTGATGCTCTGATTGTCTATTCACTTACCGAGGGGCCAAAATGTTGAAAAATGTCGATCGTCCAGGGCCAGATGACTGGACGTCATCATAGAGAGATCATTAATACAATTGACAGGTTATCAGCGGGCCATGCGCTTAACCTACGTGGGTCAGATTTGTTCCGCGGACCGCCAGTTGAAAGGTCATGTTAAGATGTCCGTGTTTTTCTTCTTTTTGCTTCTTAGTATTCTAAGAATCTTAAGAATTTTTCTGTAAAATTTTAGTTCAAAAGCCTCGATTCGCTCCCCTTTCTCCCTCCCCCCCCCCCCTCCTCTCTCTCTCTCTCTCTCTCTCTCTCTCTCTCTCTCTCTATCTATCTATCTCTCTCTCTCTCTCTCTTCAGTGGTTGAGTAAGAGTCTGTGACTCACATAAGTTGTCACGGGAAAGGTGCATTTTTGTATATGTTATATGCCGCTGGTGATGCATGGTACTAATGATATGGTAGATAACACGAACACATTATCCATCACTTAAACATTAAAAAACTTCAAGTTCATTTAAAATATTCAGTAGCATGTTATCTAGCTGCACACACGCATTTATGAACATTGTAAAAGACAGTTGTGGACAAAATGAAACCAGATTTCAAAAATATTTTCATTGTGCTAGTTCGTTCCTGTTACTGAGCGCTTACCCGATACATCCAGTTTTGGTAATTGTTCATTTATCTGTTTGATAATCCTGCCCTGTTGTGCTGGAGGCGACAGAATCTTCCCCGCCGTTGTGACTTTCTCATCGTTGTTCATGCATTCCATGGTAGGTAGGTGGAGTTCCGTCTGCTAAAACACTCAGAAATGAAATGTCAGGGAAGGAATCCTCTTTTTCTGCCATAGTTGCCGTGTCAGATTATGTTTATGTTGATTCAACAGATCAACGTGTATAACCCATAAGTGCTCCGTTCTTCTTTTAAGTGAAGCCTGAGTCGAAAGAATCTCAGCCCAGTGCATGAATTCCGTAGCACCGGCGAGGAACCTGAAATACTTTGTGTAGATTGTTAACTCCAAATGTTGCCCAGGCAGCGCCGTTAGGCCATTCTTATCGATTTTCAACTTCCAAGGGATTGCGCAGCAATACACACGAGCGTCCGGTCGTACTACCCAGAGACCAGGGGGGAATTACTAGAAGTCCACGTCAACAAAATTCCAGCCTTTACCGGGGCTTGAACCCAGGACCCCTAGCACTCGATGCGGACACCATGCTTCGAGACCACCACCCCCCCCCCCCTTTTCCTCATCCCCTGTGTCAGATTAATTATCAACCCGATACCTAATTTGATGTGTGTGGTTTATAGTGCGTCGACTTATTTTTTTAAAAAATAAGATACTGCTTTTATTTGCAGACGACATATTCGAAACCAGCTCTTATCAATTGCGTTTTGTTGTTTATATTGTCATGTAGTGCTGCTTATTTCCCGGCCACACCGTGTGTGTCGACTGATGCCTGTCTTAAAAGGAAGTTTACCTTTAATTCTGAATTTTGTGGCTTCAGTTTAAGACTCATTCTTTTTTGTTTGCGCGTGCAGGTTTCAGAAAAAAATGCCACTTGACTTGAGCTACAGAGCGTTGTGCTTTCTGCGGAAGGAACAAAAATAGCTGCTATTTGAAGAGATACTGGGCCATATGGAATCAGATTTCGCAGCTCAGTTAGTCCTTCCGCCTTAGAATTTTTGAATTTGTTTTCTTGCCTACGTTTTACTTCTTGGCTCCTGTCACAACGAGATTGTTTTCCATGTTTGATGCACGACTAATGTGACACAGGTTATCGGCTTCCATGTCAGGTTTCATGCGCTGGTTACTGTCACACATCCATTTTTTTCTGTGTCGCATGACCAATTTGACAGTTGCTACTATCTTCCATGTCAGGTTTTCATTTGCTGCCCCATATTTTCCGACTGTTTTCAGTGTCACACGACTGGTGTAACAAGTGCTACAATTTTCCATGTCAAGTTTTTATGTGCTGTTTTCCGTGTCACATGTCCAACATTACAGGTTTTCGCTTGTTTGACTCCCATCACAATGTTGTAGTTTGTTGCGAGATCACGTCGGCATGTTTTGAGGATATAGATGCCCGATAGGAACTGTTGGTAAAACCCGCCAGACTGGTGCTTGAGCCTTCAGAACTAAAGCAGCAACCGGTGTCTTGGATAAATTCCACAAACTCCATCACTCTGCTGCGTGGATGTAGAATCGCCTGAGTGTGATCCATGTCGACTTGGATATCTCCATGGCTGCTGAAGTTATTATATTCACATAGTGGATTGCTGAAAGATATAGGGGTCACATCGCTGTGTTTTTGGTCCATTCTCATCTGCCTTCTTTTCTTTAGACGTTTGAATATAGAACTCCCTGAAATGCGGCTGCTGATAAGATCGTAAGCTTGAAATGTCCTTCCCATCTGTAAAACTGAACTGAGTAGGGACTTCGTCATGAACAGAGGTATGAAGTATATAACAGCAAAGTCTCGATTCGTGAAGTCCGATAGAAGACACTGTGAGCATGTTAGGACTATGTAAATAAAGAAAGGTAAGTAGCAGCATAACCACAGGACGGATTCTAAGATGATTGTTCCGTGAAAATACGTATAGTTTTGAATCTCAACCATCCGGCTCGAGAAACAGTTGAAGTCTAGCTTAGGTAGCGTGTGGAAGTGCCTGACCGACACGATACATGCTGTGCACACAGCCAGGCATATACCAGCGATGCAGCCATTGAAGAAGAGGTAGTGCCATGTGAAAAAGCTGAAGAAGCGGACGGTGTCCTTTTCGTGGTTCCAGCCGATGAGGGGTAGAAAGCCGACTATAAAGGCTACGTTCCACATGAGCAGCATGCTAGTGATGACTGTGTCTTTGTCCACCTGTTTAAACAGAAACATACGTTTTCACATCAAGGCATCGACTCGTTCATATTTTCATGGAATATGAAGTTTATGTAAGCTACTCATAAATTGGGGAGCCGTCGTGGTTTAGCGGCTAGACTCTCGCCTGCGGATCAGAAGGTCTACTTTCGAGTCCGAACGAACCCGGGGGGGGGGGGGGGTGGGGTGTCTTCTCTTCAAAAACTTCAAAAATGGCCTTGACTGTCAGTTCGACTTAGTTTTGAGTGGGTACCAGGTAAAGTCTTTATAAGTAAAGGCGGCTGGCGTGGTGTTAACAACATCATCTCTAGAGTGCTGAGTGGTCTATACAATAGAGGTCTAGCACCATATGCTCCATACGACTGAAGGCGTGGAAAAGGGTCGTTTTCTTTACACGCAGATAGAATATCTATATCGTGCATGATTCACATATACACACATGTTAAACCTGTCCCATGCTGTGGAATTGGTATGCAGTTTCGAAAGGATCATTATTGTGATTTTTCAGAGTAGAAGTGGAGCTCTTATGTGAATATGTGTATGCAATGACAGTTCCCCCTTGGGCGTTTGGATTTTGTTGTACTCCTATGTAATCCCTTATGTAGGCTGTGGACATACAGAGTACTTGTTGGTATCAGTTTATGTAACATTTAGTTTTCTGCACTGATACGTCTCAGTATCTGGCGAAAAACCCAAGTATGTACGCTTCAGACAGACACAGTTGCGTCCACAATCCATTGTTGTCATATAAAATGTGTGTAGTAAATCTTGTTGGATTTAAGGAGGGGCAGAGGCCGACCAGCACGAAGATGGGCACAAGATATAAATGTCTCCTTTAATATTTAAGTACACGAGGTGAGAGAGCTGGCGAGAGACCGAGTTTCTTTAAGGCAGACCGTGATGAGAGCGACGTTCTGCAAAGGACCTGCTACATGATGAGTATATCTTTTCAGATTAAACCTTGTCTAGGTTTTCTGTGTGCCTGATGTTAAAGAGATATTAAGCATTAACTTCTCCAAAAATAACAATGGAGCACTGGTGTTGGCTACAAGTGTAGCTAGCGTCTTGGCGTGACCTTTTCCGCCATAGATGAAAAACAAAAGTTCACTGCTGAAAGAAGAGTGAACTTAGCAGAATCATTTGCATTGCAGTTTCCAAGAAATGAAAGTTTTCACCGCGTAGTTTCTAAGAAATGTACAATTACCTAAATTGCCATTACAGTGGTAGGGCGTCACAGTGGTGTAGCGGCTAGATTCTCGCCTGCAAATTGGAAATTCGTGGGTTCGTTCATTGGTTAAATGGTGAGGAAACTAGACAGCGGGCGAATGTAAACCTTCATGGACAGGGAAGAAAGCAAAACACTGTGGCTGAGCTGTTGATTGATTCAGTCGTGTCTGCTATATTTGTTAGAAACAGTCAAAACAGTCGTGTATTGTATTTGTCAGATACAGCGGTGTCTGCTATATTTTGTTTATATACAGTCGTGTCTGTCTGTCAGAAACGGCTGTGTACATTATGTGTGTCAAATGAAGTCCTGTCGTCAACTTTTTGTTTAATATCTTTGTCAGGTACAGTGGTGTCTAATACTACATCACCCTTTTTGTCTCTCTCTCTCTCTCTCTCTCTCTCTCTCTCTGTATATATATATATATATATATATATATATATATATATATATATATATATATATATATATATATATAGTCCACCTGACCCTCTCATTCCCTTCCTACCTCGCTTCTCTCCTGGTGAATGTCTTGCACGAGTACTAGGTTTTGTCGCTCAGTGTACGTATATAAGAGGGAGGGTAAGGTGGGGGTTGAGTATTAAAAGCTTGTAAAATATTTGTTACAGGGGCTATTTCTTTGTCACATACTTTAAGGCACGCCCCCATCAAGCAGTCCTACACACACAACACACACGCACGCACACACACTTTAGACGAAGGTAGGAACATGCCATTGATGTTCTGTAATCAACATTGCGTCTGTGTTATTGGAGACGAGCGTTTTTAGAATGTTTCTCTTGTGGCGCATTCTCGTCTCTGTTTATTTCTTCTCGACGCCTGCCCCTGCCCAGTCTCCCGTAATGAACACACTACTAACGCATTTGAATTCCCATTTGTTATGCTTTGCTTTGCATCCTTCTTCTTATTTTCGTCGTCGTCTTCCTACTCCTTGCAATCCCCTGAAACGCATCCTTCGCATTGCTCCTCCTCGTCCTTCTTCTTCCTCATTCTTCTTCCTGTCCTCCTGCTTACACTTCCTCACTTTTCTTTTCCTCCTTTCCTTCTCTTTTATTCCCTCATTTACCTCGTCATTCTTCTCGATCCTCAAGAGATAAGGTGGTAATATTGATGCCCCTTTTTGCTATCCAGCAACATCTTCAAGTCTTGTCAAGTTTGTGCCCAATGTTGCTGATTCCCGTTTTCGTTCTCTTGATGCGCGAGTACGCGATTGTGTATATTTTGTCTTACTGGACTGAATATTAATGGAAGAACAATAGTCTAAGATACGCGGATAACACAGTGCTACTAGAAGAAAAGCAAGCAGGAATTCGGGATTTATTCGTCATTATACTCTCTCCTAATATCCTAGTCACTATAGGAGATACCCTGTGTGGGTTCCGGGGCCCTATTATACGGAAAATAAGAATAGACCCCCTGTCTACCCAAAGGCATGTCGTAAGAGTCGACTAATTGGGGGCTTCCTTTAAAGTCAGAGTGCATCTGCCTGAGAGGCAAGGAACCAACAGTCCGCATACAAATTAGTCAGATCTGTCAAACGGGTTCACACGCAACAGTCAAGTTCTGGAACGGGACTGCAGTCCAGAAGTAGACGAACAACCTGAACTTTCCGCCGGAGTTTACAGCCGGTGAATGCGAAGAAGAAGACTATAGGAGATGTATCTTTCCTGATTGTATTTACAACAGGCATATCTATAGGGTGCCGAGGATTGCCGGAATGGCTGTGTTTCAGTACACCCCTCCCGGTTATCAGTGTTGTGCTTTCCGTTGATCAGTACCAGGCTGTCCGTGCAATTATTTTCTTCTTCAGCCCTGCGTTTCTCACTTAGCACAGACCCTCGGCAGACTCGTGCCAAGTCGTCCTATCATTTGTCATTGCGTTACTATATTATAACTAGTTTCGTCCTTTTTAGGACGAAATTTTTTGTAATTTGAAGCCCTACTCTGGCTTTTGCCAGGGGCCGCAATATAGGCAGGTCATACATATGGCCAAATGTCTGAACGCGGTTTCTGGGACCTCTCCACGGCGCACCTCATCCGCATGGTGGCACTTTGTGTCATCGGGTGTTTATCGCCTGTGTGATGTCCTGGTGGGGTAGAAAGTCAGTCAGTCAGTCATTGCGTGCGGCTCACTAAAAGTCCTCTTGTCTTTTGTCACCTCCCTGGGTAAATAGGGTCAAGTCGGATACCCGGACTCCTTTCTGCATGGTTCGTGCCGCTTCTTGCATTCCATGTTTTGTTTGGATTAGTATTTCTTGTTTCATCTTTAGATTTGTTCAAAGTTGGCTTTGGCTGCTAAACATTTTTAAGGGATGGGGTAGTCAATCCCACAATCACCCCTGCCCCAAGTCGCCTCTTACGACATGCTTGATATGGTGCACTGTTACCATACTCAGCTTCTTCTGAGATCCCCGGTACACGCCTTCCGGTCGTGCTTCTAGTTAGACACTAAATACAGTTTAACGAATCGTGTATTTGTAGAGGACAGGAACAACTGTGTTATACATGCTGTCGCTTACATGAACTCACATGCTTGAAGATATTTACCTGTTTGTACTGGAGAGGTCTTGCTAACTTCAGATAGCAGTCCAAGTTAATGAATATCAAAGACATCGTGGAAGCCAAGGAAGCGGTGAAGAACAGACTTTCGGGCAAGAAAAAGTTGATGTTCAGCTGCTCAATAAACAATAACATTGTCATCTTGGACGTGCCGTAGATTGACATGAGTATGTCAGAGACATACAAACTGCGGAGGAACACAAACGTGACACTCCGGTAACTGTTCATCCAGTGTGTAGCTAGGAGGACCGACGTGCTGCAGAGCGATACCAGCACACAGAAACTCAACGTCAACGCGATGGAGCTTCCCTTGAACATGGCATTTATGTGGTGTCTGCTGGCAGCATCATTCATGTGTGTCCCTAGTATGGTTTCTGTGTGCAGAGGTAGCGAGGAGTTGGTCGTCCATGAGTAGTTGACCTCGTTGAGGCTGTAATTATAAGCCTGGTCGGGACTTGTTGGACAAAGTGATGCACCGCTACATGGCATGGTTTGTGTTTGAATTAGGACAGTTTCCCACACAGCGTTAAAACATGCGGTGAGACGCCTATAGTTTTCGAGTTTCAGCCAGTTGTTTCAGTCCACAGATGTGATGCCAATTTTCGCTGTTATCATTAAATATTTAATAAATATTCGAGGTATTTCGGGAATCTCCGTGACAAATTGATTTCGCCCATTCGCTTCGGCCTCCGAAGGTCGTGGATGTGATTGATACTGTCCTTCCTTTCACAAGTACGCATGCTTTGGCGATTCATGGAGATCTTCAGTGGTGTTTCTTGCTTTGTGCGACCACTGTAGGCTGGCGACCAATTATTATGTGGACTGAGACCGACTAATGTGAACCACTTCGGTACACCGAAGTCATCATTTTTTCATTTGAACTGTGCTGCCATGTCGCAGACGTGAGTTAGTCATGACAAGATTCGAGTGGACTTCTTTCTTAAGAAAGTCAACTGCTCATTTTTTTTTTTAATTGTGTCCCTTGCTGGGAATGAAACTGACAACAAATACACATCACCTCTGTAGCACCAGATACTTGTTACATGGCCTTTACATCTCACTATTTAGGTGGTCGGTTATTGACTACGAGACTCGAACATGGAGTGAAAACAGTTAAACGCGTTTGGCATTGCTTGATATAAAACAGTTGATTTATAGTCTGTAGTTACTATACTAATAACGAATCTTCAGTGAACTTTGTATAGTCACGAGTAAATAATTTACACAAATGCACATATTGAAAGCGAGGTTTATCCAGCCAGTAAGAAAACGAAAATATGTATTTATTTATCTGTCTGCAAGCCTAAGTTCTCTCCGACATCACACGCGTCTCTCCGCTAGTACACGGGTCGCGCGTGCGGTAGTCTGAACTAATGTTGGCGCTCAGCAAAACGGTGGGAAAACTTTGCCTTGTTATTTACCTGTCCACTTCCTGTATAGTTATGATTACGGATACAGCTGTTTGCCCAGTGACAGCCGTCATATTTTTTCTGCCAATTGGCTCTGTGTCTCGAGTTACGCTACACTGTATGCGCTGTTTGAGTGTGTGAACATGGCGTTACAAGTCCTAATTGCAAACTGTTGATTGAAAAAAAAAATGGCTAATGTTGTTCTTGATCCTAATGCTCATGGGTTGTCTCCCCCAGCAGCCCAATGCCATTTTTTAGGAAGGGCAGGTCCTTTACGGCCCATAGTCGGGAACGAAATCAATCCACAAAAAAGAAGAAATAGAAGATCCCTACCTCCTTATACAACAATACCGACATGTTTAAACAGTGCTGTAGAAGAAAGAATCAGTATCAGTTAAAACGTCTTATGACAACAAGACATCATGGAACCAAAAGAAACCATATCGGAACCAGTCCTTCACAATAAAGATCGCAAATATAGAAGCCACGAGGAGCTGAAAAGTTTGAACGCGATCGAATTAGTCATTTTTGTTTTCTTCAAAGAGCAGCAGCTTTACTGCTAAACTGTCATGGGCCAGTGTTGACGTCTGTGGCTTAGGCGTTGCTGCCGCGCTTCGTAATTCCGAGGTACCCAGCTGTGGCTAGTTCTGCAGCAGACCAGTTTGCGTTGATTTCGACAGTGGTGTCGAGAGCCGTCCTTTCAAGACGCAATGGCAAACTACAGAACGTAAAATGGCCTTGTAAAACTAACCAATTAAACACAAAAATATGTGATTAATTATGCTGTTTTCTGAAAATGATATGCAGCTAATCCTTTTTTTTTTATTTTAAATGGACTAGTAGAGTTTGTAACTTTTGTAGACAGCTATAGAAGTTATTCCTTGTATTCGAGACTACAGAAGAGAAGGTGGCTTAGGGTTCGATAAATGTGCAAACAGTGATGAACTAATTATGTTATTGTAGAAAATTGCTGGGTTGTGCGTATACAAATATATATGTGTATAGATATATATATATATATTTGGCCTTATGTTGATGCCCTATTAGTGTACCGCCAAGGCAAGGATAGGGGCAGAATTGTAGAGGAACATCATAAGTAACTAGAACTAGAACGCATAGCAAATTGGTGCCAAACCTCCGAAGCGCAGATTAACCATGCAAAAGTGACTGCAATTTTTTTTGTGGAACAACCACACAATACACACAATAACAACCATGTGTGATGGTGAAGAGATAGCAAGGATTGAATTTGTAAAATACCAAAACAAGGCCAGTCTTGGTTGGGTCGGTCAGAGACAGTACTTCAGCAGATGATTTCCCTGCAAGACATAAACCGTGGAGAGCAATGGATACACATACCAAATGAATACAAGCTGTACTTTGTAGTGGTTATCATCCTGACAAGACAGTACCGTGGTTTGGCACCACCAATAGTTGAAGTAAAAGCATCACACATCACAGAAAGATACTGTTATATATACATATGGTTCTGTAATTCGCTAGAAACAAAGTGCATGGGCTTTCATGGCAAGAACCAAAGGGAAAGTCATCACAAAAAAAAGATGGTGGAGCCTTTGCTTCTACCACCAGCAACAGGACTATGGAGGTTATGCCTGTGACAAAGGCTCTAGAATGGCTGAAAACTCAGGAATTCACCAATGCATGTTTGTTTGTTCAGCAACTCAGTGAGCATGTTCCAGAAGATCAAGGCAGGGTAGAGTTGCTCCATCTGGTACAGCAAACATGATTTCACAAAATCACCTTCATTTTTGTCCCAGGGTATGCTGGTGTGAAAGGCAATGAGAGAGCATATGCTGTGGCTGGCAGTGGGACTATCAGGAATGGGCCGTCTATGGACAGGAAGGACATCATCAATGCCATACAAGATGCTAAATGCTGTGAGGCTTTCATTTTCCTGGAATATGATTTTTCACTGAATAGGCTTTGTGACCTGGGTTTACCAGTTGGACCAGCGAGACAGGAAAACCATATGGGAGCCACCCGTCGTTACATCAGCCAGAACGGAATGGGAGTTGTTAACCTAAAAGAGAGAGAGACATACTCAAGGGGAAATTGGAGCACTAATGATCATGTTCAATGTGTGATAGAGATGATCTTTAAAATAAACAATATAGATGACCCATGACTCATGTTCAATGTGTGATAGAGATGATCTTTAAAATAAACAATATAGACGGCCCATGGCTCATGTTCAATGTGTGATAAAGATGATCTTTAAAATAAACAATATAGACGACTCATGTTCAATGTGTGATAGAGATGATCTTTAAAATAAACAATATAGACCCATGACTCATGTTCAATGTGTGATAGAGACGATCATTAAAATAAACACTATAGACGGCCCATGGCTCATGTTCAATGTGCGATAGAGATGATCTTTAAAATAAACACTATAGACGGCCCATGACTCATGTTCATTGTGTGATTGAGATGATCTTTAAAATAAACAATATAGACGGCCCATGGCTCATGTTCAATGTGTGATAGAGATGATCTTTAAAATAAACACTATAGACGGCCCATGGCTCATGTTCAATGTGTGATAGAGATGATCTTTAAAATAAACACTATAGACGGCCCATGATTCATGTTCATATGAAAACAGGAAAATTAGTCTAGATTTTCCTGTACGACCAGTGGTGGTGATTATGCTCTTCATTGCGGACTGTCAGTTCAGAGTTTACTTGTCTGTTTATTTCATCTTTTCTTAATTGTTGCCTCTTTCTGATGTGAATCTAGTGGACTGTTAATCAGGTCGGTGCCACCATTGTTTTATGGTGCTTGCATTAGCAAGTCTATCGGCCACCTTATTTCCTACTGGATCACCATGACCAGGGCAAACAACTGTCGTTATGGAGTAGCATGCAATAAAGTTGTGTCTTACTGTTCTGTCTAGGATGTCTCATCTATCAACAAAGTAGTTTTCAGTGTCTCCAGAACAGACAAGACGTCAATGAAAATCACTGCATCAAATAGTTTTTGCTCCACTTATTGACAGTATTGAGGGCATATGTCAGTTGCTTGGTCACTGACTCTTGGCTAAAGCCCTTTTCTTTCTAAGCATCCTACAGCTCAAAGGAGATTCTAGCTGGGTTCGTCTGGGTAAATATTCACCATCACAGCAATCCTTGTTGACCAAAGTGAAAAAGTTATTAACTGTAAACTATCAACTGCTTTTCTTGGAGCTTTTAACATGGAGGTTACAGTTTTATAAGAAATCAGAAGAATTATGTGTCATGTATTGACCATATATGGTGCCATTTGTGTAGAATGGAAATACCCCAAAATGCAACTAACATTTTATATCAGCGCTCTTCAACTATGTTAAATCAGAAACCAAAATTGTGAAAACTGGGATTAGGGTTCATATCATTAGCATTTTGCAGTGAACTTTTTTGAAACAAGCATACTACATTACACCCCTCCGGACCTGCTCCACGCTGATGTAGTCAGTAGATGCACCCCAGTTATAACTTTTGTGGGGGTTGAACAGGGTATCAGAGATTTGACTTGCCATCCAAAATGAGATTTTTATAATTTCAGATTGGTCAAACCTTCAGGTAGTATCTTAGAGGGGATAAGATGAACAAATTGAAAAAGTGCACACGGATCACTTGAAGATGGGCTAATAAGACAATATTTTTACACAAGTGCCATCCCAGGCTTTTGGTTGTAGCCTTTCATGGAAAGATTTCAACCTGTTGTTCTTTTCATCCATCTGTTAATTTAATTTTCTCTTCTGTTATTTATTTCTGAGAATTTGTTGGACTATTACACTGTATAAATCATGTTTTGTTTCATAAAATTGTGTGGCACAGATTTTATTTGAAAAAACCTCACAGTGAGTTTGTAGGCTATGCTCTAAGGGCATTGTTGTTTCATTCTAGGTAGTGATCTTTGTAAAATTGAAGTTTGTGATTTTGTGTGTGTGTGTGTGTCAATTTGTTCAATATAATTGCAGTTGCCATGTATTTTGTTGACAGGTGTTTACAATTATATCATTTTAAATTACAGCAGCTGGAACTGTTCCTAAAGGAGGACAGAAGGTGTGTGTGT